ATAGTCATGTGATAGATATGTACACTGATTTAAACATTGTATAATACACATATTGAAACAGCATGTGGTACCTCATACATACGTATAACTTCTGTTTTCACGTTTATGCTTTTTACTGTATCAGTTAAAAAATAAATTTAAATAATTAAAACAAAAAAGTTCGAAACGAGTACTGATAAGATTATGTAATTCAAAAGTGTTCCACTGGGACAGCAGTACTCAGTGTGGGCAGGCAGCCTTCACAGTAGCCTGCCAAACCCAGTCCTCGCCTAGCTCCTTTCCTGCCTGTCCACTAAACATCCACACTCACTAAGACTTCTCTTATCCCATGTATCTGAAAGTAACTCTCTTCTGCCCACTGGCAAAGTAGTTCAGCACTGTCTAGTCACTGTCTGTAGCCACTGTCTCTCATCTTGTTTATTCCCCACCAAAGGGCCAATGTTTCTTGATTTTTCTGGGGGAGGAATGCCTAGACTAGATTTCTGATGTCTCTGACTAAACTAGCTCTTTGATTAATGTTCTTCATTTTTCCTATATTCTTGCTAACTTCTTACTACTTCCTTGTCACAAAATTTACAACATTGCTGGGCATCAGTGGCTCACATCTGTAATCCTAGCTACTCAGGAGCCAGAGATCAGGAGGACTGAGGTTCAAAGCCAGCCCAGGAAAATAGTTGTGGAAACCCTATTTGAAAACACTCATTAGAAAAAAAGAAAAGGTGAAGGCCCTGAGTTCAAGCCTCAGTACCGCAAAAAAAAAAAATAAATAAAACATTACATATAAGAAAACAGATTAATAATTATCATAAATACCATTGAGTGTAAAGAGTATTAGTAGTAAAGTGGGGAATTATGTAAAAGATATGAAGGGATTGTCATTGCAAAATTTTTATAATAAAAATCAGATCTCATTTAGAAAAATTTCCATCAAATTTTTTTTTTTTTTTTGTGGTACTGGGGCCTGAACTCAGGGCCTTCACCTTTAGCCACTCTACCAGCCCTATGTTTGTGAAAGGTTTTTTGAGATAGGGTCCCTGGAACTATTTGCCCTGGCTGGCTTCGAACTACAATACTTCTGATCTCTCCCTCCTGAGTAGTTGGGATTACAGGGGTGAGTCATTAGTGCCCAGTCAAAGGGTTAACTTTTAAGTGCATGAAAAATTTGTAAAGTCAAGCATGGCTTTGTCTGTGTGTGTTACTGGGCACTGAACCCAGCCCTTCCTGTATAACCAGGCAAATGCTCTACTATTCAGCCCTTTTTATTGTTTGAAGCAGTGTCTCACTAAAGTTACGAAGGCAGGCCTCCAACTTGTGATCTTCCTGCCTCAGCCTTCTGAGTAGCTGGAATTTATGGACGTGGGTCATGACATCGTATGTTTTCTTATCTCTCAGCCTGAAGGAGTAGGGCTCTGTCAGAGCCCATCACCCACCTCTTTTTCTCATTTACACTCAATAAATATTTATTGAAAAAGAATTTTTATTGCGTACCTGCAAAGAGCAGACACTGATGAATAAGATAGTGTCTGCTTCTACGTGTAGGATAGTTGTAAATATGCCACTGGAAGATAAGGTTAGAGTCTTTCCAGATGGATTTTCAGGTTGAGTCATTTAGGTCAAGAAAATGGTTAAATAGATGATCTGGTGGTGGGGACAAGCTGAGGAATGGGGGGGGTGGTGGAGAGAGATTCTTAAGAAGTGTGAAGCTGGAATAAGAGTACTGGGCTGCTTATACTTCCAGCATCCTTTTCTAATTATAAACCATTCTGCCTGCAGCCGTGCAGCCTCTCTGCCCCACCTAGAAGCTGAGTAGGATCACAAGAAGAAGTGGCTTGGAGAACCGAAGGACTGGAGGGTTGCCTAGGCCACTTGACTCAATGTGTGATATTCGACAAGTTGCTTAACTTCTATAAAATGTTACTTCTCATTTGTAAAATGGGAATAGTGACACCAGATCACATAGAGAATGTAGGCTAAACTCTTGCTCCAAACAATCTAGGTTTCCCTGCCCTTTCCCGCTTGCTTGCTGCAGTTTTGGAAAGTAGATTCTGTTCTATGAGGGAGAAGCACAGCTCTTAGTCGTTCAGAAAAGCTTTCCTAGTGGCTGTAATGCACCAGCCTTCCTCAACCTCCCCCTTCCCATCCCCCACACACCCGGCACACTTCTTTTCCCCCCTCTACTAAGATTTGGAACTGCTGCTCCCAGGAAACCTGGGCTTTTGTTCTCTGGAGGTATAAACTTCCAACCAGTTTTGCCTGATTTATTGTTTAAAAGGCATCCCTGTTGTCTACAGACTATCACTAATTGAAATTTCTAAAGTTTACAGACAGTAAGTGCAAAGTATTATACTTTGTTTAACACTAACCCATCAATGCTTTCCCTTTTTCTCTTATTTCCTGAGGACTTTCCTCTACCTGCCTCCCCACCCCGCCACAATAATCACCCCCTCTTTACTTGTTGGCAGCACTGTCACTTAATGCTGATAAAAGTTATCTTTTAATATTGACTATAATTTATTTATGTCTCTCTTGCCCATATTATTTTTCTGTTTGAGACAGGGTCTTTTACAGTCCAGGCTGGCCTCCAACTTTCTCCTGCTTCAGCCTCCCAGTGCTAAGATTATGTGATTTGAAGTTCTTATTAGTCTTGGTAAGTATCCTCTACAACCTCTTGCTCAAACTTGAATATTCATTAGAATCACCTGGGGGGGTCTTATTAAAATGCAGATTATGATTTAGTAGATCTGGGGAGGGCTGAGAGCGTTATACGTTCTCAGGTGAAGCCAATGTTGTGGGCCCAGACCACACTTGGAGTTGCATGGCCCTTTAGGGTTGTCTCAATAAAGCCATTGAGACAAAAGAGAAGCACAAAAAAATGACTGCTGGATGATGCTTGGGTCTCCTCTGTTACTCAGGAGTTTGGACTTTCTTTCAGTACATCTTTCTGTTCCTTTTCCAGTGCAGAATTTACCATGAACATCTGACAATTTTTTTTGTGTGTAATTACTTAGTTGAACCCTTCCTTCCCTTCTTCACAGTCATACAGAAATGGGTCACTTAGTGAATATTTGGTTTTTCCAGTTTTTTTTTCTGCTATCATTTACCTTGTAGCAGCAAGAATAACTTCTTAAAGAATCATTTTGTACCCTTTTCATGTAACCTATGGTAGCACCATAGTATACAACATTTTAAACTCAAATTCAGAGTGAGAAGCTTAAAGACATATCACCAACAATTTCCCCTCTCTTCCCAATTTCCCTTTATGTTCAGTGGAACCCTCTGCATAATGCCAACCTACCATTCCACTTCTTCAAACTCCTTGCAGGTCATTTAACATTGGGAATGTCTTATTTTATTCCTTTTAAAAGACAGGCAGTATTCCTTTCAAAAACCTCAATTTTTGTCTACTCAAAATTTTTGCTGGGGTGGGGGCAGGGGGGAGAAATGACCCAAGCCTTGTATGAACATATGAATAATAAAACAATAAAAAAAAATGCCAGTACTTTCACCATGGTTAGCTGTAACTGAGTTTGACATAGATGAGCTTCATGCCCATGGGGCCAGAATTTCTGCTTTTGAGAACAAAGTGTCAGCTCACATGTCTCCATGAATAAACTCTCTTACACTATTTTTTTCTTCTTTAGATGTATTAGATGAAAACACCAATGGAACGTCCACTGAAGGGGCATAATTTTAAAATAAAAGCAAAAAAAAATCCAAAATAAAATTTTTTTGCTTTCCTGATTTATCTCTAGTTTTGAGTCTTTTATTTGAAGCAGCAGGTATCAATACGTACAGGTTTTAATATATTTTTTAAAAAAATTTTCAACCTCTGTTTTAAGTAGGAAGTTTCAGTCCTTGTTCATGGCTGTATTGGCAACACAAAACAGTGCTTGACACACAACAGGTACCTCTTTGGGGGGGTTCAGTGAAGGATAAGACAAAATTTAAGATTAATTTCTATTAACAATCTATGCCTTCTTATTTACCAAATATTATTGGAAACCTGGGTGAATGTTAATGAATAAATAAAATTAAACAATCCTGGTGACATAACTTGGGTACAATAAAAATATTAAAGTATCAATTCATATCAGAATGCTGGGCAAATTATTACCAGTGAATTAAAAACATGTATTGGCTTAAAAGGCCAAAAATAAGATAATCTTTAAAATCGCTTGAGTATTTTAAGAGATGAAACATTTGAGGTTTAGTAACAGTTCTCTACTGTACCCACCTACTAGCTATCACTCTTCTAGGGAAATAAAATTTAAATGCAGCTCAAATTCAGTTCAGGGGCCCAAACCCACATCCTTTCTAACAGGCTTAGTTTTCCTGTCATTGTTTTCTGCCCTTCACATTTTGCATTCGTAAAGCTTGCATTTTTCTTAACAGTTCTTGGTGCTTGAAATGTGAAAGAAATGAAATGGGGCTTTCTCATATTACAGTCTCAAGGAAAAGGAGACTGCAGGACCCATTCAGCGAGGTGCAAGAGGCCTACAATCTGCAAGCCCTGCAACAGCTTCATGCTCCAATTTTATCTGTGGGTTTTTGTACAGCTCCTCTTTTTTGGATGATGTAAATCACGTAAGAGCTGCATTCTTCCCCGTGCAGAGAAAAGATGCAAGAACATGCAGCTTAGGCTGCCAGTTTCTCTCTAACACGGAGCCAAGGACTACAGGCCCCGATACCCGCCCCCAAACCTGGTCCACAACAATCGTTTCCTCCCTCCCCGCCTTTTACATACAGTACACATACAAATACACACACGCAGAGCAGCCAGCAGGGGCGGGCCGGGCCCGACCACTTTGCAAACCGCAGGGGGGAACCTCAGCCAGCACAGGTGTTTTGTGCTCACTCCGTTCTCTTTCTCATCCGCCTCTCTAGAAGTGAACGTAATTATTAGTCAGAAAGGGAACTTGTGGATCTAGGGTCTTCAAAACCTCCCCTCAGGAGTGACAGACCTTTGGAATTGCTGTATTCTTCCCCCATCCTTGGTGAGCAGTTGGTATCGTCCCACTGCTAGCGGGCGCCGAGCGGGAGCCGCGCGGGAGCGGCGCAGCGACGGCGGCGGCAGTGGTGGTGGCGGTTGCGAATCTTAGCCGTTGAGACGCCTCTGCGGCAGCTGGTGGCGCAGGTGGCTTGCGTGGACGCGGGCAGTGGCGGCCAGCCCGCCACCGCAGCCTCAGCGCCCGCGTCCCCGGCAGGTGAGCGGGCGGCGGTCACTCGCCCCGCCCCCCCTCCCCCCCTCCACCCGTGGCCTCTAGCGGGGAAGTGGACGCGGCCCGCCCGGGGGCCGAGGGACGGCCCCAGGTTGCGACCGTCGGAAAACAGGTTGCGGGGGAGGTCTTAGGTGGATGGAACGGGGACGTCCGCCTTTCTTAATCCATCTTGTTTTTACCTCCGCTGCACCCCCTCCGTCTGGGGTCTTAAACCCCGTGGAAGAAGCCCTGGGAAAGATGGGGCGGGAGAACGGTAAATCCGCGGTTAGATAGCATCCCTGCCTCAGGTGGTGGCGTCTTTTAGGTGGGGGACTTCCCAGCCTGGGGGGCAGCTCCGGGGTTGCGGAGGCCGCGCTCTCGAGGAGCGGGAGGCGGCCCTCCTCACTCCCACCCCCACCCTGGTTCCCCTGCCCCTCCCCCTCCGGCGGGCCCCTCCCTTCGGGTTTCTTGGCTTTAACCGCCCTCCCCGCTGTCCCCGCAGGCGTCTGGGCACCCGAGGCATCCTCCCTCGCCACCCCGCGGCCCGGGAGCCTGGACTTGGGTCCGTGCTCCCGCATCCCCTCGCTGCGCGCACCTCCTCCTGGGCTCCGGACCCCCGGCTTCTCCCTCGAAACATGACTCGCGATTTCAAACCTGGAGACCTCATCTTCGCCAAGATGAAAGGTTATCCTCATTGGCCAGCTCGAGTAAGTGATTTGTAGCCTTCGCGGTTGGCTTCTCAGAGGCCTGCTTCCTTCCAATCCTTCTAATTTTTTTTTCTTGTATGCATTCCTTCCCTCTCTTTTCTTTTAAGTGCCATTTGTAACCTGACCTCCTTTCACAGTTTTTTTTTTTTTTTTTGTCCAGTAATATCCCATGTAATTGTAAAAAATATCGAGGGTTTCCTTCATACCTGTGTATTTCCCTGTGGCTTGTTTTTGAGTCTTTGACAGGTGTTCTTTATAGGAAATATTTAGATGACATTCCAGTTAATGTTCTATTGTAAGTGAAATGACCCAGTATGGACTTTTATGTTTAAAAATGAGTGAAACGTTAAAATTCTCTAAAGTCTCAGTAAAATACAAAATCGATGGAATCTATGCAGATTATCAGCTCTTGGATGTCAGATGTGATTAAAATTAGACTTTCAGTTTTTATTTTCTATTTAAATAACATGATTTGCAGCTGATGAGGCCTTTTGGGTTTGCCTGTGTAATAAAGAGATCCGGGACTGGATATTGTTAAAAATTTTCTAATAATTCAGCACTAAGGAAGGTCCAGAGGATTTATTTCCACGATTTTATTCATGTTGTTTGCCTTATGACCTTGAAGTTGTTGTTTTACTTTTTTGTTCCCCGTAGACAAAAGTAGGAGTGGTCCAGATCCTGGGTTCACATCTTGTGGTACAGAGAGGACATTAAGGACCCAGGATGGTTAGTGACATTTAGGAATTGAGACTGGCTAAACACTTGAACTCTTATTTTCAGAAAAAGAAGTCCTTTTTGTCAGTTTGTGGTGGGACTCCGGTCCTAAGACTGACAGGACCTAAAGAAAGTTGAGATCCATTACATTAGGTAAAATCGAAATCCTTTTAAAATAGAACTATGTGGTGTCCTAAGGTTGTAATTATTTTTTCAAACCATTTATTTGATAGTGATTTACTGTCCTTTGAAAAGGAAAATAATTATTTTAAGAAATAATTAAATTCTACAGTTCTAGTTAGGTTAGCTGGGAAGAGTAATGGGGGAAAATACCCGTTAGATAACAGCGAATCATGGAGTGAGTTGCTGAGGGTGCCATCCAAGTACATAGTCATCACTGTTCCTTGTTTTGGGTTTTTCCCCCCTCCAGTTATGTGTTTCCTTCCAAAGCTTTTTTTCCCTAGTCTTACCAAGTTTACCAAGTGCTAACTTTTTTTTTTGGTGGAATCTTACTTGAACAATCCTTAATATAACCAATCCTGTGGCATTCTAACCTGCTTCTTTGAGGAAAATCTTTTAACTCTTTGTGACTTCAAAATGTATGTAAGCCCTTTGAAGGTAGTGGCCATAAACTGGGTTTCTTTATATTCTCACAGTCTTGAGTTACATTCTTGGGCCCTTATAAAACACTATTTCATATTTAAATGAAGCCGAGGGACCTGGCCAAGTTGAAGGTCCCTCCAAGATACTTTTTCAGTTTTCCCTCATGGCATCCTTATCTGTTTTGAGGTGTCACAAAATTGGAGGTTATCTGATAAATCTGTATTCAGATTTCCATGCCATAGTTGTTAGAAACCAAGTTAAAATGCTTCAAAATTTTTCCACTCTTACATTCTTCTCCCCACACCCTTCAATATGTTGGGAGAGTAAGAGTCATTGTTACTGAGGTGAGGAAGGAGGGTCAGGGTATTTTCTTCTTGATTTAACAACCACTACTTTCAGCAAGTTCATTTGGATTGAAATGGGAAATATTTGTCTTTTTCCTTTCCTGAGTTTGTTTTAGGTCCACGAATTATGCGTTCTTTTCAGTCGTCTCTTCAATTTTAGAAATTCTGTGTCTTTTCTGTAGAGAGTTTGTAGGGTATTTAAGGTCTCAGCTGTAAAGGTTACACTCATTTCAATTTTGGTTTTCACATTTCTGTGTATACATTCCAAAGTTATTTTTAAGTCTTAAATTTTTTGTAATCCTTTACTAGTAGTAATTGTTTTTAAATCAACTTTAAAAATTTGTCTAACATTTATTAAACTCTGCAGATTCTAAGCATTTAACAAACTTAAAGCTGTTTGCTAGCAGAAAGAAGCATATGAACCAGTTGACAGAAAATATCCCTTATTTTAAGGGGGTAAGAATTTTTGCAATTCTTGGGGCCTTCTCACAAAGTTGAAATGATGGGAATAATCTTCATATAGGTGGAGAAATTATGGTCCCTGGAAGTTTTGGGCAATGAGGATTCTGTTAATGCCTGAAACCTTCAGGCTGTCCCGACAAATGACCAGTTACCTTCTTGATCTATGCTGTAATGCCTACAGAGCATAATATAGTCAGCTTTTTTTTTTTTTTCCAGTACTGGGACTTGAACTCGGGTCCTACACCTTGAGCCACTCAAGCCCTTTTTATGTTAGGTATTTTTGAGATAGGTCTTGCAAACTATTTGCTGAGTCTGGCTTTGAACAGTGATCCTCCCCATCTCTGCCTCCTGAGTAGCTAGGATTACAGGAATGAGCAACAGATGCCCGGTCAATCAGCCCTTTTATTAACATTAACTGATTTTTTTTTTTTTTTGGTGGTATTGGGGTTTGAACTCAGGACCTCATTTGCCACTTGAACCACACTCCCCCCTCACCACTACCATCCCCAACCCTTTTTGCTTTAGTTATTTTTTCAAATAGGGTCTGCATTAATGCCTGGCTGGCCTGGACCATTATCCTCCTTTGATGAGATGAGAGGTGCATGCTACCATGCCTGGCTTTTGTTGGTTAAGATAGGGGTCTCAAGAACTTCTTGCCCAGGCTGGCCTTTAACTGTGATCATCATGATCTCTGCCTCCCTAGTAGTTAGGATTACAGGTGTGAGCCACTATGCCCTGCTTCAACTCTTTTTTTTTTTTTTTTTAAGTTTTGCAATAGAAATGTTACTAAGGTCTGCCAAGAAGGTACAGCCTCGTGGCTTGAACAAGGAGGATAAAAGAGAATAAGAAGTATTAGAGAAGCATTAGATGTAGCAGCACCTGATTCTTTCTTACAGGATTAAAAAGATAGAAAACTAAAAGGAACAAATAACCCCATGTGATCCAGTCACACAGATGAAGGACCTTTTCATAATAAATGTGATTCAGACTTTGGGAAGTATTGCTTCAAACTTTAAAAAATGTCTGCTTTTACATTATCCTATGTTTGTATAGGCTTTCTGCAGTAATATCATTTAGGATTGTGGAGTAGATTCATACTCCTTACATAAAATATCTAGGGCCAAATATGTTTCAAGAACTCAGAATTTTTGGGTTTTAGGAAGCTAATGATGGTACATATGCTGTATATTTTGCTGCTGGCGGAATCTGGGATAGCACATATTTCTGCAGAGAAACAACCTGAGTACTAGGTGGATAAAAGAAATGCTTAAATTAGCCTCAGTGCAGGTCCAGGTTTTGCCACCAAAATGAGTTTTGGAAAAATCTTGTTTTTTTAGAACTTCTTAGGCTTCAGAATTGATGATACGGGATTATGGCCCTATAAAATGGTTTCATTTTATGTCATGTCCTTTTTTGGTTATCTTCTCAGTTTATTCAGTTGTGTTGAGGTATGTGATTTAAAAGATTATACTTTTTCTGATTTTTCTTTTAGGTAGATGAAGTTCCTGATGGAGCTGTAAAGCCACCTACAAACAAACTACCCATTTTCTTTTTTGGAACTCATGAGACGTAAGTCCTGTTAGCTTTAGATGCAAATGAGAGCTCATTTTTCAGGGTTGGTCTTAAAGTGAAAAACAAGTAAAGAATAATTCAAGGGAGAAATAGTAAAGAAACAGAAAACTTTAAAATCATCTTTGAACTTTGAAATAAATCTTCAGGTCACCTCTTTTGGGTGTGGCAGCAAGTAGAGATTAAAGACAGCATAGGTTTAATTTTTATTGGAACAGATGTTTCCTTAATCAAAAAAGGTATCCTCTCAGCAATCACAAGAATGACTGATAGATTAAAGTATGTAATGGAAGCTTTTTTTTTTTTTTTTTTTTTTAATGGGGGTATTGGGGTTTGAACTCAGGACCTCATACTTGCTAAGCAGGTACTGTACTACTTAAGCCACTCCACCAGTAGGAAGCTTTTTTTTTCCCTCCCCTCAGTATTCCTGTGTAGTAAAATGTGTGTGTGTGTTTTTAATAAGAGCTGTCTGGCATCTTGTTGTAGGCTTTGTGTTATTAGCTACACAAGTTGTATATTGTAGGGAAAATGAGAAGAGAAAATCTGGGCAATATCCTGTGTTTCTGTGGTCACTAGAGCCACTCTGCTCTGCTGCCCTAGTGGATATATGGACAAAGAACCAATTTGGTAAATCAAGCTTAACTTTTCAAAAATTGTAGCTGAAACTTGAACTGTTACTTCTATGTGCATAGGATTACTCTGGGGCTACATCATTAATTCCCAAAGATTATTTTCCTACATACTTACCATTTAATAGCCTTAGGAAATACTACGTAATCTATCTGATTTTGAGTTTTCACCATTTTTATGGAGTAGGCTTCTTTACCTGAGATGAGGAGACATTTCATTAGATGTTAACATATTCACCCCCTTTCCCTTTAGTGAGCATTCTGCTGTCCCTAGCCCCACATACCATTGATGTACTACTGTAGGCTGGTGCCTTCTGGGTCCACAATTGGATTGACCATCACCACATTGAGTTTGAATTGGGTTCAGGTATATTCTACATAGAAAAATGTAATTTTTAGGAATTGAATCTGATTCCCTGGTATGATCATTTAAAGAAACTTCAATTAAGTTTAATAGGCAAAGGAATCTTCTAAAAAAATTGTGTGCTATGTATTAGAATAGGGGTTTACAAAGTATGGTACTAGGTCTAGCAATATCAGTGTCACATTAAACTTTAGTTTAAGAAAAAAAAATTCTTAAGGTCTGCCCAATACCTGCTAAATCAGTCTTTGTGGTGTGGGGTCCAGCAATCTTATAACAAAACTTTGAAATGCTTCTGATGCATGCAAAGTTTGGAAACACTATATTGTCTTAATTTGAGCAGATGTTATTTTGAATTTTTCACTTTCATAAATTTTAAAATTCTTTGATTCTGATTATAAAAGATTTTATCCTTTTTTATATATAGGACCATAGACCAGTGTTTACTTTTTTTTTTTTTTGACAGTGCTGGGGCTCCAACCTAGGGCTTTGTCCATGCTAGGCAATGTTCTGCCACTGAGCTGCACCCCCCTTGTACTAGGTTACTCATTTTAAATTTAGAAGAGAAATAACCATCTTTTTCCCCAGCATTTAAAAATGAGAACTTTTGTATTGTAAATATCTGTTTATTCATTTTGCTGTACTGGCGCTTGAACTCAGGGCCTTCACCTTGAGCCACTCCACTAGCCCAATTTTTGTGAAGGGTTTTTTGAGATAGGGTCTCTTGGAACTGTTTGCCTGGATTGGCTTTGAACCGTTATGCTCCTGATCTCTGCCTCCTGAGTGCTGAGGATCAAACCCAGGGCCTTGCATCTAAGGCACACTGTACTAGCTAAGTTACATATTCACCTCAATGTCTGTATGCTTTAAATCATTACATCACATAACTAAACTTATTAGGTAGTTTGGTTAGATAATGAGCTTGTTAATGAAGAAAATGAAGTAGCCAGTGTTCAAGAAATTAGGATAAATTCAGAGAATTAAAACATACTTACCTTTAACATTAAGCTAGCAATATTTTTATGACGTATAAATTATATATTCATTTTTGTTAGTTTAAAAATGGAATAATTACCTCAGAATTTTGGGGTACAAATAAGATACATGAAAAATGTTTAGACTAGTGCATGGTATATGTTTAGTTAAATTAATGTCAGGTATTAAAAACTATACCGCTTTGATATACTTTTGTTTTGGGAATAAAACTTGCAGATATTTATAAATTAATGATAACATTGCATGTTTTTCTCAAGGTTCCTACTTGTGTATTGATGCAGCTCAATTTGAGTTTTGCTGAATAATTACTTTTGCTAATTGAGGGAATAGTGTCCCCTAGTTCTATCTCATTTCTCTGTAGTTTGGAAAATTTAAATAAAATTGTATTTTGCTGCTTTTATGTCCTTATTGCTCTTAATTACCTTAATACAAAGAGAATTTTTTTAAATTAGCATTCATTAATTTTATAAAGGAGTCTCACTGTGATATTTTTGTACATGCATATAATGTATAATGTACTTCAATCACATTCACTCCTCCATTGCTCACTCCTTTTCCCCTCCCCCTTCGTACTGGTTCTGCCTCCCCCCCAAATAATCCACCTGTTAAAATCATGTCACATTGTTAATTTTAGGTCTGAATTCTGCATAAGTAAAAATATGTCATTATCAGCTTGTTTTACCAAAGTTGGTTTATCTTACTCATGATAATCCTACTATTCTATTTTCCTGCAAATGACATTACTTCATTTTTTTGGGGTGGGAGGGAGGTATTGAGGTTTGAAATCCATCCTCACACTTGCTAGGAAGGTGCTCTACCCCTTGAGTCACACCCCTAGCCTTTTACGGTTTCATTATTTTTCAGATAGTGTCTTGAGTTTTTGCCTTGGGTAGCCTCAGCTGTGATTCTCCTACCTATGCCACTGCCCAGCTTATTGGTTGAAATGGGATCTCCCTAACTTTTTTTTTGTCTGGGGTATCTTCAAACTGCAATTTTCCCTATCTCTGACACCTGGGTAACTGGAATTATAGGTATGGGCACCACATCTGGCCCACTTTCTTTCCTTTTTTTTTGGTGGGACTGGAGTTTGAACTTAGGGTTTCAAGCTTGCAAAGTAGGAGTTCTGCTTGAACCACACCTCCAGTCCATTTTGCTGTGGTTATTTTGGAGATAGAGTCTCGATCTGTTTGTCCAGGCTAGCCTCGAATTGTGCTCCTCCAGATCTCAGCCTCCCAAGAAGTTAAGATTATAAGTGTGAGCCACTGACATTGGCTTCGTTCTTCTTATATGGTTGAATTAGCACTCCATTGTTTATAGGTATCACATTTTCTTTATCCACTTATCACTTGAGCACCAAGATTGATTTTATAGCAATAAGTGAATAATGCTACAATAAACAAGGATGTGCCGATTCTTTGTTGACTTGGATTTCTTTGGATGTCTGCCCAAGATACACCATGGAGTTATATTCAGCCATAAAGAAGAACAAAATTATGTCATTTGCAGGAAATAGATGGAATTAGAGATAATCATATTAAGTGAATAAGACTCAAAAAACAAATACCATACATTTTCTCTCATGTGGACTCTAAATTTAAAAAGAGAAGAAAGTGAATGGGGGGCATGGCTCAAGTGGTAGAGTGCCTGCCTAGCAAGCATGAAACCAAGTTCAAACTCCAGTACCATCACCAAAAACAGGTGTGAAAGTAGAAAGGGGACAAGGGGGAGAGACACAAGATGAGGCTAATGGGAGTAGTGAATGTGATTAAAGTACATTTTCATGTATCAGATTATTACAATGAAATCCATTTAAAAATGTACAGAAAATGATCTAAAAAAATACAGCATAATACAAACTTTTAAATCCTGCCGAATTGATAGTTTTTTAGTAGTGAAGATGAATGAGGAACTACCGGTGTGGTACAAGAAAGAAAGAAAGGAATGAATCATAGGATAGAATTTTGATCTCTTTCCACACTATAGTTTTTCTGTACAACTTCTTTAGTACTACCACTATAGCTGCATGTGCCAGTGTTGGATGTGTATAAATTCTCATACTTTGATGCCAAATAATGAAATGAATTACTTTAGTCCTTGCTGGGCACCAACAGGTTTGTGGCATATAATATTATAATAGATGTATGTTCAACTGTCTCATAAACCATTTTTCCATTATAAAATATGTACACTGAGTATTTCATAGTTTTGTGATTTTTTTTTTTTGGCAGTATTGGGACTTGAACTCAGCCTCATGCTTGCTTGGCTTGCTAGGCAGGCACTCTACCACTTGAGCCACTGCCAGCCCATTATGTGGTTTAATAATTCAGAAGTTAAGCAGTAAATTAGAACCAATATGTTAAGAATGGGAATGTTTAGTAATATTACCTTGCAAAGTTAAATGTTTTAATCTTCATGTCTTTGTCTTTGTCTTTGATGAGCCTTTCCATTTTGTTTATGAAATTTCTGGTTTGCCTTAAAGGACTGTGATTACTCAGCTTTTGTGAGGGTTATGTGTGTGTGTACATTCTTATAAGTGAACACTAACAGAAAAAGTGAATTCAGAGACGTACTGCATTTCTGTGTACTTACATTTTTAAGGAAACTGAGTTATACCACACACACACTCACACTCTCACTCTCACTCTCTCTCTCTCTCTCTCTCTCAGAGCTGTAAGTAGGATTTAGGTTTTATTTCAGGGTTATAAAATTAATATTGTACTCAGTTCATGATTTGCTCTTAGGCTATTTTTGTACATTAGCCTTGATTCTAGTGAGCTTTGATATTGGTGTTATCCTCTGTTTAATACCTTGATGACTGTACCTGAGTCAGTTATCTTCTGGCCTTCAGTTTTCTAATGTTTAGAATGAGGATTTTGGTGATCCCTAATTTTCTTTTCAACTGTGAATTTACAACTCGAATTAATATATATCTCTTTGCTAACATTTTAAAAAGCAGATGTGAAAAGAAAGTTCTCTTTAGGAGAAACAAATAATTTCTATTCCTGTTTTTTAGA